TGGTATTATCGACGTAGGCTCTATGTGGCTAGTTAGTTAGGCATCACGTACCCCTAGCCGCATGTTAGTGGTGTGCGTCAGTTAAGACCATTCAGCTGTCTGGTGTTATCGACGTAGGCTCTATGTGGCTAGTTAGTTAGGCATCACGTACCCCTAGCCGCATGTTAGTGGTGTGCGTCAGTTAAGACCATTCAGCTGTCTGGTGTTATCGACGTAGGCTCTATGTGGCTAGTTAGTTAGGCATCACGTACCCCTAGCCGCATGTTAGTGGTGTGCGTCAGTTAAGACCATTCAGCTGTCTGGTGTTATCGACGTAGGCTCTATGTGGCTAGTTAGTTAGGCATCACGTACCCCTAGCCGCATGTTAGTGGTGTGCGTCAGTTAAGACCATTCAGCTGTCTGGTGTTATCGACGTAGGCTCTATGTGGCTAGTTAGTTAGGCATCACGTACCCCTAGCCGCATGTTAGTGGTGTGCGTCAGTTAAGACCATTCAGCTGTCTGGTGTTATCGACGTAGGCTCTATGTGGCTAGTTAGTTAGGCATCACGTACCCCTAGCCGCATGTTAGTGGTGTGCGTCAGTTAAGACCATTCAGCTGTCTGGTGTTATCGACGTAGGCTCTATGTGGCTAGTTAGTTAGGCATCGCGTACCCCTAGCCGCATGTTAGTGGTGTGCGTCGGTTAAGATCGATGAACCTCGAGGACCCTCTAGCATAATTCGGAACCTATAATGAAAAACTCTCTAATTTGCCAGCAGACGTGCACGATGTTCAGCGAATAATTAGCGTGCACTTCAGAATTTTTACTGGCAACATAGAATCATCGACCAAAATTTATTTGCACGAATGCACCTACGCATATGTTGCATCTCCAAAGGCCATTTAGATTTTAGAATGTTGAGGAAATCTGCTCCAGTTCATTGTATGTGGGTCAAACTTTTCAACAATTGGCGGTTTTTTATCATCAGGTAACGTATTCACAGTCGGCGGTGTTTATTGACCTGGAGATTTCGTTCATTTTAACAAAAGGCCATAGTAAAAGAGTTTCAATAATACAGGAGCATATACATTGTACATAGAGATTCTACACTATGAAGTGGCAAGTCTGAAAAAGCCGTAGATTTCGAGAAATCAATCTCATTGTGCGAATAGCCAGCGGCTTTTATGCGCTGATCCCTCACGGATTCACGAATCGACGGATTGATACAACGAATCGAAGCCTTAGCCCGAATTTCCCGAATCGGTTTTATTTCCGTCACGGATTTCACGGATTCACGGATTGATACGCAGGACTGAGGTTTTCGCCCAAGTTTCCCGGGTACTTTTTGTTCTTGCCGGTCAGTGGCTGTCGTTCACCTGAAAGTCGCAAATGAAAAAGGGTATAGCACTGCTCTTTATGTTCTTAGCGCAGGGCAGTGTGCCTGCCAGCGCGAGGATTCGCATAAATAAGTGTCTAATAATGCATAAAACTGGGTTCTAGAGGGGGCGTGGACAACCATTCCACGCACCTACGAAATGAAATGAGAAAAAATTTTGTCAAATGAATGTGTGTGCTCTGAGCTTGGAAATGTTCTCACTATGTCCCCGCCGTATGTTTGCCAACGGAAAAATATTTGGAAGTCCGTGCTCTTTCCTCCAAAACATGCTGGTGTGGTAAATGAAAATGTTTGCTTAAAAACGTAGTGTTTTGGTGTTTGTGTACTCAAGCCCTGATCCACCATAATAAAACTTACTTTTGCTAGAATTTGTTTCGACTGTTCTCCGGGCATTATTGTTGGGGCGCTTTCGAACTTACACTTGAAGTGCTATGGCTTCAGGCCGCGTCCTAGAGGCACACCCAAAATTTCACTAAAAGCTGTCTAAACGACCTCAGAGTCCAGTGTGTGTGCACAATTCACATTCAATCGCTTCCGTTGGCCTGGCGCGTTGTCTCTATGCAAGTGGTGAAAATTTGATTTCTTCGCGTGTTTTCCTACGTATCAGATTTTGAATTGGTCCTTAAGCAACGTAACAATAATCACGCCTGTTACGTCCGCGCGAACTCAACTTGGAGCTGCCACCGCGACCTGGATATGAAACTTCTTCTATGGTTATGGAAAGCGTCCGGTCAAGCCCGAGGAATCCGTCAGTGTTAGTGAGCTTTTGTGGCAGTCAGCATACCTTATATCTTGTTTTATCGCAAGATTTGATCTTCACCGATACATCAAAACACCAATAGTCCCGTTAGATGAACAATTTGGTTTGTGGGCAGAACGAGCGGACGGCAGAACAAGATGGCCACTGCTCTCAAGTCCTCGCATTAGCTAAGTGAGCTGAGGCGGTCTTTTGGGAAACAAGCTCGTCTGGGACATATTAGAGATATAGTTTATTAAGGGCAAGCCGTCAGACTGGGTATGATTATCGCGGTACCGTCATCGCGACGCCTTACTTGGGTCCGTGGACAGCTTCGTACATGAACATTGTGGCTGAACCATTAAGGGTTGTCATTGTAGCTGGGATTTTTTTGGTCCGTCGAGGATTCAAAGTGGTTCATAGGCGCCGTTCAAACGGAGGAGGATAACGACCGTGAATACATTGGGGACTCAAAATAGGAAGTGTCCAAAAGGTTCACTGGATAGCACTTTGATGTGGGTGGGAATGCCGCCCGAAATAACAGACAGTCAAAAGTTGTTACAACTCCTAAGTACTCCATTGGAGAGATGCCACTATATTTCAAAAATGGTCAATGATATTTAAGTGCAGATAATAGGTGTGCGGTCGAAGCGAACTGGCGTTGGCATGTTTGCTTATGAGATACGAGCGTTGGTCAGATTGTGCGCGATTAAAGTAGCTCGGAGCCTGTGGAGACGTGAGATCAGAGATATCTGATGGTGTTGCATGTTTGCTCAGTGATGTGGCCTCAGAATGGAGCTGTTACAGCCTAAAGAAAAAAAGGGTAGCTTTGTAAAAACCAGTTGCCTCTGAGGCGTCATGTCGTGTGTATTTGGTGAGCCTCTGTTGGCATTTTTGCCCTCCAAATGAATAATGACTGGGTGTTTACTACAGGTAGAAAGAATAAGCGGTTTCGCGTTCATTCATGGGTGTGAACGACAGCCGCTGGTCATTGGATTAGGCTAATGTGCCTAGGTGAGGCTTCATAAGCAGTGTCGCGCATAGACACGGGCCCATCGCCTACAGGTGACAATGCGTAGAGTTATGAGTATGATGGGCCATCATCATTTATTGGGTTCGGCTACCGGACATAGATGAGCCCCCATACTCAGCGTCTCATGTAGACACGAACAAAACAGTCATGATGAGTAGTCGAGGTGTGTGACAACAACCATCGTCCCCATGGTGACCGGTTTATGGTGGTCACCACCTATGGGGCGCCGTATTTCTCATAGGAGTGATGCCACAATGTTGGTAATTTACCTACAGCTATATCCTGACGTTGTATCATCTACGGTTCAGCCATGCATATCTTGGAAAGTGAATCATCCGCAGAGATGGACCTCGCGTCTAAACCGCAAAATTCGTGCTGATGTCTGATGAGGTTGTACGCAACGGAAGCTGAGCCTCAAGGGAACATACGTTGTTAAGAACTTCATTGAATAAAATTATCTCCTTCGCGCGGTACGTTCGCAATCGGTTTCGTTCTCCCCTCATACAAATCTGTGACAGATTTTTTTCGTCGTTCGATCTATTCACAGAGCACACACGAGTAAATGTTAAATTTTATCACTCTAAAACTTTTGGGAGATAACCCTTGATATTTCGCGCACACTTCCTACTTTGCATCTAATCCTAAACATGACTTCAATTTATACCGATTGCCTCTGCAGCCATTGATAGACCACAACAAATGTGGGCGAAATGGCTGCCCGTCGAACGTCAAACGCGCTATGCAACGCCACACCTGCAAGGCCTGGTGGCACTTCGAATGCACGGGTTTACAAGACGACCAGATAAGCCGACTAGCTGACTCTCCTGACCCGTTTGTCTGCGCCAGCTGCCTCTACGTTAATAGTGCAATACATATAGCAGCCAAGAGAAGAGCCCCCAAAAACGGTACCCAATCCCCACTGCAAATTCAGAAAGACCGATGTCAGTGTTCCGCTTTGATCGGGATAATCGACGGGAAATTGGAGCGTCCTTCTAAGGTACTGGAGGATTCAGACACTTCGAATGCAGCGGCTTGGGCGAAAGTTGACAAGCAACTTTCTTCACTAAACGAGTACCTCGCGATCTCCATACTGGGTCCTCTGGCTGCAAAGAAAGCAATACAAATGTCTAAGGCGGCTATAAAGACCGCCAAAGCGTTTCTAGTGGACAGGCGCCTAAGGGGAAACGGATTGATAATCTGGAGGTTATTCTCTGGAAAAATCACGCCGGCGGTGCTAGCGCAATCAATCCTTAGCAGTGTCCTCACCAAGCCTGATCAATCGCTCCACGCGTAATGGTTACACAAGAAGGGAAGCAAACGAACGCTTGGACTTCTAGTTACTCATTCTTTTCCATCTGACGTACAGAAAAACTCGGAGCGGGCTGGCAGCATTCAAAAGGCCAACCCAATGATTATGCGTCTACTTGAGGATCACCCTCTAGAGACGCGAAAGCTCGGTCACAGTTCAGGGGTGGAGGCACGAAGCAGGCTTCCGCTGGGCGCCAAATCAGCCGACCCCAAACTCATGACCACGCCGATTGTGGTCATATATCGTTGTGCTCCTGGAAGCAGGCCGAAGAAACCAGCCGCGTCTCCGGATAGCAGTTTCCATTCGACCACCACAGGCCTCTCCCCCACCAAAGGCAGGGATGCCTTAGAGGAGGCAAACCTCACATGCAAACAGCGCTCAAAGTACGTGGAGCTACCAACGCTTATCTCCGTAACAGAGGACTCAGCTACAGCTATGCACTCCCCAACAAAGCCACAGCCTCTGAATTGGACTGAGTCAGATATGCGGGGACGAGCATCAAAGCCAGTCTCCAACTCCACTCCGTCAAAAAGGGCCTCTTTCCTCGACAACGAAATCCTTAAGCATGACCACAGCCATCCGGAAAATTCCTCGTGCATCCAGTTTGGCACACTGATCGCCGGTGGATCGGGTGTTCACATAAACACGAAAGAAGAGCAACTGCAACCGAACAAGCCTCATAAAATTCGCCAGATTAGAAAACTGCTGGCTGGCTTCAAGTTGCAATCATCCGTGAAAACGAGCCTCTTGGGAGCGCCACCAAAATCATTACTTCCTGGTGCCACTACCCACCGCTCAGGGCCTCACAGAGACACTTTTCCGGTCAAACCGCGCCAAAGCACCCAAGAATCCAGAAAGGCGAAAGCTTGCCGCAAATCTTTGATTAACAGTAAATATGGTCGCCTAAAAGGGGCTGCTGAAAGAGCTACAAACAGCAACGGTCGAAAGTTTCGCCCACGGGAAAAAAATCCATCCCCCAAAGCCAAAAGGCCGAGCAAACCGGGCTCCCACGGAACGAAAAAACCTCGCAAGCGAAAAGCACCCCCAAAAACCACAAAGATAGGAAGCAGACGACATCGCCCCAGAGGCCCCTTTGGAACCATGGACTCAAACCCGACAGCAACTATTAAGTCTGCTAACCACCCTGGTCACTCAAATTTCGTCTCCGCACCCTCGGAGGCACCAGAGACAGTGTTGAAATGCTTGTCCACAAACCGCCTCAGCTCTTTCAACAAACTCGGCGACGCTAAACATTCGGCTTGCCTTGGACAACCGTCCATAATCGCGCCTACAGAGACCTGGTTCACACCAGGTGTCTCTGATTTTGAGATCTCGATAGACGGTTACTCTATTTTTTGGGCAGGTGGGGTTGCTCTCTACTTACCTGCGGCCCTAATAATCCCGAGTGTCCTCTCGGACACCAACCCCGCACCCTTTTGCGATGCACTGTGGGTCCGAATCCCGCTGAGTGGGTCCGATTCTCTCCTTCTCTGTATGGTCTACCGTAGCCCTTCGAGTCCCACTAAAGATGACCAATTCCACACACAAACCCATGAGCAACTTTCCTCGAACTACCACTTCACTCACCTCCTGCTGGTAGGTAACTTAAACGTCCCAAAGGCCTGGATGGAACTTTGGCGTGCCGAATCAGGCGAACTTTTTGCAGCGGCGTTGGATGAAGTCGTTCAACAGAGCGCTTGGACTCAACATGTCGTTGCGCCCACCAGATACCGCGCAGGCTAACTATTATCCGTGCTGGATTTGGTCAGCACCAACGAAAGACACTTCGTTGATCAGGTAACAATTAACGCTCCACCGGGACATAGCGACCACTGCGTGCTGACCCTTGATTTCATCTGCTATTAGGCCAGAAATCTCGAACCTCAAACATGGTTTCGAGACTTCTGCCGTGCAGACTTCTCAGGAATGCGCCTCTTCCTTGAACAAGTCACACTGAGACCAGCTCCAGTGGAAGAACTATATGGGACCATTGTCCAAGAAGTTCACGAGGCTGACGCGACGTTCGTCGCAAAAAACCGGCACGCACTCGGATGAACCGCAGGCTGTCAAAAAAGATTCGGCGAACTCTGGAAAAAGATCCCAACTCTTTCAAAAAGTTGACTACAGGGGATACAGAAGATGAGCTGGCATTTCGTAAAATGC